ACATACTTAACTACACCCTCTCAATGTAAATATTATATTTCTTAAAGAAATAAATTTAGATTTTCATTTTTAATCAAAATATTCATTTAAATTATATTCTATTTCTCTTGCATTTATATTTGTTGTACGTTCTAAGTCTAAATAAATAATGTCGTTCTAATCTAGTAAAAATGAGCTAAATCTGATTCAATAACAACCAATTACCTTCTTAAGCTGCGTTTGCTATATTTTTATATAATTACTTTTTTGTATTCTTCAGTATATAGGTTATAGTATAACATATACACATACGGTCGTTTAACAATGTTGAAGAGGTGACATTATAGCCCAACTTTGTAAGAAATAGTTACCTAATATAAAATTATGTACCTATCTCGTGAATAAAAGATTTTTTAATAAAATAAAACCGTTGATTAAAGAGATTCTTTCAATTAAGGATAAAACACTAATTCACCACAATACACCAAAACATTTTAAAACTTAACGCGCGTTTCGCTAACTATGTTATCATCATCAGAAGATGGTTAAAACTGTCAATATGTGTAATGTTGTAATGCTTAAAGTGTAATGCTTCCAACTCCGTAACAAACAGTTAACATAAAATAATGGAATGGACCTATGTTGTACCACAACAAACCAATCCAAATCATATGAAATATAGTATAAACATTTTAAACGTTCTCTAACCCAGTGTGAGTACATATTATCAAAGTAAAACCTCTGAAGGCGGGTAAGGGGACAAATAACTCACAATCTTTAAGATGTTTATTTAAATTTAAATACTTCAAAAAAAGCAGCAGTATTATCTGGTCTTGTTTCGGGACTTAAACAATTGCCATCATCAGGCCCAGAAAGACAAACGTCAACCTAGGAAGTACCACCACTCGGAATAAATAAATATAGTTAACAACTCTCTAACAATAGCTAACAACTCTAACTATTTTTATTTTTTCCGAGTGGTGGTACTTCCTAGGTTGACGTTTGTCTTTCTGGGCCTGATGATGGGAATTGTTTAATTCCCGAAACATGTCGCCCCCCTGCTTTTTTTGAAGCATTTAAATTTAAATAAACATCTTAAAGATTGTGTGTTATTTGTCCCCTTACCCGCCTTCAGAGGTTTTACTTTGATAAACATTTTTACCAACATTACTTTTAATTTATTTGGTTATTCTAACATAGTATAAAGAAAGGGTAGTAGTAATTATCTTTGGATGCCCATGTTGTTTAAACAAATACTAAACGTCATGGACAATTTTATATGAATAATTAACATTAACGACCTTTGTACTTTAATAAAAATTAATTATGTTGCCATCAAACAATAGGCACAATACCTGGTAATCAAATGTATGCATTGTCGTATACTATAAATATTTATTTATATTTTAATCGAAAATTCATAGAAATGTTGTAAGTTCTTATTGATTATTCATTATAATCAATATTTATTAATATTCTTATATGTTGTTTAAACTAACCACAATCAAATAATATGATTTATTACATTTGACATAGTTTCTTATATTATAAATCTGAAGAATAATAAACAACAGAATACAAAATACGCTAGACGCTGCAGAACCACGACAACAAGCAAGCTTTAGAAGCGGCTTCAGCACGATGGATCTCATACATACACTAAGAGAAACTATCAGCCGAACAAAAGAATAGGAACTTCACTAGCCGTAGCATTTATAGACTTTGAGAAGGCTTTCAACTCGATATATCCTAAGGCAGTAATAGAAGCCCTAGCGAAACAAAGTATAGAGAGGTATTGTATAGAAACTCTCGCCAATATATACAAAGAAGCCAAAGCAACAGTAATGATATATAAAACAACCCCAGAGTACGACAGGGAGACGCGGTATCTAAAAATCTCTTTACAGCAACATTAGAAGAAATCTTCTGTCAACTGGAGTGTACTAACAAAGGATTAAAAATATATGGAGACTATATTTACCATCTAAGATTCGCTGATGATATAGTCATATAATTGCCAATAGCCCCGAAGAACTACAAGTACCTACAAATTAATAAACTAAATACAGCCACCAATAAAGTGGGTCTTAAAATGAATTTAGCAAAAACTAAAGTAATGTACAACGAACTAGTGGAAAGAAAAGACATTCTAATAAATAACACAACATTGGACATAGTAGAAAAATATATATATACTTGGGACAACTAATACACAGCTCGGGATCTCTACTACCAGAAATCAACAGAAGAGTTAAGTTAGCATGGAGTACTTATGGACGAAACTCAATCATATTCAAATCTAGAATGCCACTCTATCTAAAGAAGAAAACATTCGACCAATGTGTACTACCAGTCATGACCGATGCATGCGAAACCTAGATGCTTTAAACGGACTCAATGAAACGAAATATGCTGGGGATAACCAAGAGAGACCCTAAAAGAATAGAGTGGATACGACAAAAGACCCATGTAATAGATGCCCACAGAGTCAAATCCCCCAAATGGCAATGGGCAGGACACCTGGCAAGAAGAACGGACAACAGATGGATCATAAAAATTACAGCATAGTACCCACGAGAAATTAAGAGACCTAGAAGAAGACCGAACCTGAGATGGCACCATTATATTAGGAAATTAGCAGGGATAACTTGGGTCCGCTTAGTCAACCTTAGACAACAATGCGCCCAACTACAAAGAGAGTATGTGAGGGAGGCTACACCATAGTTGGAAATGGTTGAATAAGCTGAAAATGATGATGATGATGATGATTATGAATATATCTAAATATTAAGCTGAATTTTTTACTGTGTGTATATCGGTGTGTGACGAGTCAATGTCAATAAGCTCAGTAAAATAAGATGTACTGAATAAAGAAAGAAAAAAAAAGCAAAATCTAGCGTCGGATTAGGTGGTTGTACAAAAATAAATACTTTGCACTCTCTCTGACTTACTAAATCGCCATAGTGATTCACTTCTGGACATATAAATGCCGACGCAAGACTTTGCTTACCAATAGGGTATATTATATTGAATACATTTTTCCAAGTAAATTTATTTATTTACAATAATAAAATGTGTTGTATTCCTATAAATTTTAACAAAGTCTATTTTTAATAGAACCTTACAAGCAAGTGAAGCCATATTATGTCGTATATAAAAGTAATAAAAATAAAATGTTTAACAGTTTCTATTATACTTTTTTAAAAACATACGAGTATAACGGTATTTTGTGGTTATAAAGTAATAAAAAATGACTTAAATTTCTCTGTAGTATATATGCTATAGGATTTTTATAGTTTTAGTATCGGAAAAGTGTTGTAAATGTGTAATTAAATATGATATATTTGTTGACTGAAACGTAGTTTATAATATGATAAAAGTGCTATAATTTTGATTAAAGTGTTCATTTTTTGTTACAATAATTGTATTAATTCAATCTAAAATAAAAATGACTTCAGTTCTGACAAACGAAAAAAACTTAACCAGTTGCTGCTTCAACAAGCAAAGATTTTAGGTTTTACTCAAGCGCTGAATAACATAAGAGGACCTTGCACCCCTATAAAGACCTTGCACCCTGTTAAAAACCCCTATCATATCCATGAATCTTTTATACAGAGTCTTGCGTCTAGGGCAGCCGATCAGAGTAATAAAAAAATTTGCATACACACAATTCTGCATAATAACATCAGATATGCTGACGATACGGCGCTCCTAGCTAGCAATGAGAAAGATTTGCAGTGCCTGGTGGACAGAGTTAGCAGTATTAGTCAGAGTCATGGTCCATAAACAAAACAAAATTTATGATTATCCGCAAACTAAATATTGAAAATATGAGGATACAAGTAGAAGATCGAAATATAGAAAGGGTAAGAAGATTTCAGTACTTGAGGTGCTGGCTGAATGATAAATCGGATCCTGATCGAGGGAATCAAACGAAGAAAGTGAAAGAGAAAAAAAAAACTGAAAGAAATCAAACATAGAATTGAAATAGCCAGAAACACCTTTTTCAAAATTCTCTGCAACCGAGACCTGAATCTGATTACTTGATGGCGAGCTACCAAATGCTATGTACTGTCTACATTGTTATACGGTGTCGACGGATGCACGTTGAAGGCACGGACCATGTCATGCTTGGATTCATTTGAAATGTGGCTTTACCAACGAATGTTGAAAATATCCTGGATCGAACGAATAAACAATTTTGAAGTATTAGAAAGAATGAAGCCACTTGCCAATGTTCGAAATATCGCTTTCCGGTCGTCTAAGGGAGAACAGAACGCGTTCGGGGCCTTTTGCATTTACCAGAACGCATTCTGACTCTCCCAAATCAGCCCAGAAGCATTATGGCATGCGTCATTGTCAGATCGAGTCAAGCACACAAATATTCAATGGTCAATGCGAAAAAATATTTTTATTGTTTATGTAAATACGACATACAAAGCTTAAAATAACATTATTTTTTTAAAAAGAAACGTGAAACATTAAACGCGGGTAAAAAAAACAATTTTCATCTTATCTATCTACTTATTTTTACACGAACTATTGTTGTGACATTTACTGTTACATACTATTTTCTTCGCCCTACACGCGCACTTCTTGTCGACGCAATAGCGCTTGCAATTACATTGTACAAAGCCCTGTTTTGATCCAGATGCTAAACCAGAAGCTGTACGGAGAGAAACACGTTGATGTCGATAAAGTTTGAGTCGGCCAAAGTAAACTCATTACGACAGTATACCGACTGCAAAGTTTCATCTTTCGTTCCTGAAAATGAATTAAAAGTTATAATGTTAAATAGCTCACATACATTTATTACACACCAAGCTGATAAAGTCCAGAATCGTTAATACTGAGTACAACAGCTAACACATTTCTCGGGGCAAGTCTACCTCTGTCAACGTCAGGTACTCGTACAATAACAGTTCTTCCTACATCTATAGGTGGTAACTTTGAATACGAAAGGGCAATCATTTTCTCGGATTGTTTCTCTAGTCCTTCTTTAGCCTCGTCCCGGACAATAGTTATTTTTTCAGTTCGTAGACATCGGTCACATGTAATTTTCTGCTCACCCTCTCCATTTGTTTCGTTAGTTTTTCCGCAAATGATATGAATAGGTAGGTAACAAACTGAACATTGATAAGTATCTGAAATTTCTTTTTCGCATATTGTACAAAATTTTTTCTCTCGTTGATCTTCATCATGTTTATCTTCACTTTCGCTGAATTCTTCTGATCGCACAACTTTTGCAGCTCTTCTTCTGTTTCGATGTTAGACAAAAGTTCTTCAGGAAGTGACGAATCCTTGAGACCGATTTTCTGAGGCGCACCGAACATAGCTTCATAAGGACTTTTCATTATTCCTGAACGATTTTTATTGCTTTGCACGAATCGTAACCTCTCAGACCATTTTGTTGTGTGTTGATCGGCTAACCATGTAACCAGCATGTCCCTTACATCTTGATTTGATCTCTCTACGGACCCTTGACTCTGCGAGTGACGAGGTTTTCTATGGACCAGCTTTAATCCGGTCCACATTTCAGCAAGATTTTTGATTATACGGTTTGCAAATTCTCTACCATTGTCGCTTTGTAGAATCATAGGTGCGCCCAATAAACAGAAAATATCTAATAAATGATAGGCAACTTCTTCAGCTGTTTTTGTTTTCAATGCTCGTAGTACGGTAAATTTTGTTAAATGATCCTGATAGTTTAGGATGAAACGAAATTCTTGGTCTGGTTCACTTTGCATGTCAATTAAATCTACTTGACAGCGAGAATTCATTCATTTGTCAAAATTGGCTTAACCACTAGTCCTTTTCGTAGAACTTTCTGTTTTAATTGGCATTGCTTGCAAAGTAATAATTAAATTTCAATTATTTGCCGTGTTATATTACAATATTTTCTCTTGAGTTCAGAATCCAGAACTAAAATAAATAAAAACACTTGTAGATTTTGAGTCCATTAAAAAAACTGAAAAAAAACATACCTCGTAGTCTCTTATGTCCTGCCCCCACATGACCGGAATGAATAATGTCAAACAATTCGTGGGTCATGCAAAAATACCGTAGTTCGGCAGTTTCGTCTGTCTTCCTTTCAATTAGTTTTTCGGTTTCGCCAATTTTTAAAATATCATACCTTTTTAATCGTCGTCTTTGTTTCGAAGATATTGTATCACCGTTGCTTTTACAAGCTTTTGCCGCCTTCACCTCCGTAAGTATTTGGTCGTATCTTTCTCTTGTAAAAATCATTGCTATCACTTATGACTTTTTGCAGCTCATCATTAAAACGTAATTTAAGGTCCTCCATGATACTTTCTAGCGACTTTCTAACCCGCACAAGATCAAATACTAAATGCTCTAGGCTCTAGCTCCGGTGGTATCGTTTACAAGCTGAGACTCGCATAAAATCGGCGACGCATTATGGCAATCGCAGTAGAAAACAGAACGCGTTCTGGCAATTGCAGGTGGCCCAAAACGCGTTCTGGGCTTCATTAAATAGCCAGAAAGCGATAATTCGGACATTGGCAAAATGGTAACAGCCAGAACGCGTTTTGACCATATTTTCCGTCCATTGGCCGAAATCGGTGTTTGCTCCTAACATATACATATGTCCCATATGGAGATTCTGCTCTTATTCCTTCATATACCGAAAATAATTTCTAAAGAGATGTGTCATATTCTTTTCTATTTTTCATATATTAACATTAATCATAAACGTTTATGTAAATAAGCAAGGTATTTCAGCAAGACCTTTGTCTATTGCGTTATTTTTTTTATTTTACGTTACCACGTATACCTATTGTTTCATTTTATAATAAAATCTGTAATGACGAAATTTACCTTCTAAGAAATTTACAAAAGCAATTATAATTTAATGAAAGTAATCATCGAAATATTAAAAAATAATAACTTGATTTATCTCGTTTTTTTATCAGACTTTCTGTGTTTCTCAGAATTTTCAAATAACTATGTTTTTATCTTAAATCGGTACGTTTAGATTACAAATACTCAAAAATAACTTATTACCTATAGAAAAAAGGTGATAAGTGCAGAATAGAAATATACTAATTTTTATCCAATATTTTAGTAGCTAATTAGTATGAGCCATTCCCAATTATAATGTGCCTCCCTCACATATTTAGGTACTCTCTTTGTAGTTGCACCCATTTTTATCTATCGTTGGCTATGCGGGTCGAAGTTATCCCTACTAATTTACTAATATCATGGTCCCATCTCAGGTCTGGTCTTTCTCTAGGTCTCTTGATTTCTCATGGTTACCGTGCTGTAATTTTTGTTGTCCATCTGTTGCCCGTCCTTTTTACCAAGTGTCCTGCCCATTGGCACTTGAGGGATTTGATTCTGTTGATTCTGATATTATTTATACAGGGTGCTACAAATTCGGGGCACGCGCATTGGTATCTCGCTAACCATAATAGATACCAACATGGTTAAATTGGGGCAATTGGCGGAGGGCATTGCTTGACGTCACTGAAATAAAAAAAGTGAAATCAAAATACATTTCAGCATTTGCAATAAAAAGAGTACAAAATGCATTCGGAAATGCATATAAGAATAAAATATGTTTAAAGAGTTATAAATAAAATTGAACGAAAAATAAATTTGCGCAATAGGGAGGGTGGCAACCCTGGGAACCCTTTCGAACATGTAGAACATTAGAAAATAGTTTGTAGAAGTTGATTTATTTATAATAAATACGATTAATATTATGCATATTATTAGATATAGGTGCCCGGTGGCGTAGAGGTACAGGCTCTCGTCTACCAATCTCAAGATAGTGGGTTCGAATCCCACACCCGGCAATTCATCAGCCGACTATTTTTATTAAAATAAAAATAGTTTGGGTACCTAGGTCGACTCAACCATAAATGTGTACTTGGGATTCTCACAATCCTGAGGTAATAATAGGCGGTTGAAGCGTAGTGCTAGCCACATTACCACAAATTACCTATAACAGATGCGAAAGAAAGCGACTGCATCGGAAACCGCTCGGCAAACCCGACACGCCTATTGAGTGGTGTAACAGTATACACCAGTCGTTTAGTCCGGCAACCTATTCTATGTCGTATTCGCTTGCTGGAATGACATAGTGCGTGGTTATATGTTTCTTTTTAAAAACGCGTGTAGGATTTTTGTTGAACTTTTGAACTGTTATTTCTAAGTTTTGGTAATTTGTATATCTTATTTAAAATGGGATACAAATGTGTTTATTTTATAGAAAGAAGCCAAAGCAACAGTAATTATATATAAAACAACCCCAGAGTTCCCAGCTGGCAATGGAGTACGACAGGGAGACGCATTATCCTCAAAGCTGTTTACAACAATATTAGAAGAAATCTTCTGTCAACTGGAGTGTGCCAACAAAGTTAAAAAATAAGGTGGAGACTATATTTACCATCTAAAATTCGCTGATGACGTAATCCAAATTGCCAATATTCATGAAGAACTACAAGCACAAAGTAATGAACTAAATACAGCCAGCAATAAAGTGGGTCTTAAAATGAATTTAGCAAAAACTAAAGTAATGTAAAACAAACTAGTGGAAAGAAAAGACATTCTAATAAATAACACAACACTGGACATATTAGAAGAATATATATATATACTTGGGACAACTAATACACAGCTCGGGAGCTCTACTACCATAAATCAACAGAAGAATTAAGTTAGCATGGAGTACTTATGGACAAAACTCAATCATATTCAAATATAGAATGCCACTCTATCTAAAGAAGAAAACATTCGACCAAAGTGTACTACCAGTCATGACCGATGCATGCGAAACCTAGATACTTTAAATGGACTCAATGAAACGAAATATGCTGGGGATAACCAAGAGAGACCGTAAAAGAATAGAGTGGATACGACAAAAGACCCAGGTAATAGATGTCCACAGAGTCAAATCCCCTAAATGGCAATGGGCAGGACACCTGGCAAGAAGAACGGACAACAGGTGGACCACAAAAATTACAGCATGGTACCCACGAGGAATTAAGAGACCTAGAAGAAGACCGAACCTGAGATGGCACCATTATATTAGGAAATTAGCAGGGATAACTTGGGTCCGCATAGTCAACCTTAGACAACAATGGGCCCAACTACAAAGAGAGTATGCGAGGGAGGCTACACCATAGTTGGAAATGGTTGAATAAGCTGAAAATGATGATGATGATGATGATGATTATATGAATATATCTAAATATTAAGCTGAATTTTCTACTGTGTGTATACCGGTGTATGAAAAGTCAATGTCAATACGCTCAGTAAAATAAGATGTAGGTACCGAATAAAGAAAAATAAACAAGTATTTTTACAAGCGCATGAAATCTAGCGTCGTATTAGGTGGTTGTGTAATAATAAATACTTCGCACTCTCCCTGACTTACTAAATCGCCGTAGTGATTCACTTCATACACACTCTTCATAGACATCACTTCAGACATATAAACGCCGACGCGACGCTACCCTTTGCTTACGAATAGGGTATATATTGAATACATTTTTCCAAGTAAATTTATTTATTTACAACAATAATAAAATCTGTTGTATTCCTATAAATTTTAACAAAGTGTATTTTTAATAGAACCTTACAAGCAAGTGAAGTCATATAATGTCGTATATAAAAGTAATAAAAATAAAATGTTTAACAGTTTCTATTATACTTTTTTAAAAACATACGAGTATAACGGTATTTTGTGGTTATAAAGTAATAAAAAATGATTTAAATTTCTCTGTAGTATATATGCTATATAATTTTTTATAGTTTTAGTATCGGAAAAGTGTTGTAAATGTGTAATTAAATATGATATATTTGTTGACTAGATATTTGACTGAAACAAGCGCTGAATAACATAAGGGGTGACACCTTACACCCTGTTAAAAACCCCTATCATACCCATGAATTTTTTATACAGAGTCTTGCATCTAGGGCAGCCGATCAGAGTAATAAAAAAAATTTGCATACACACAATTAATTCTGCATAATAACATCAGATATGCTGACGATACGGCGCTCCTAGCTAGCAATGAGAAAGATTTGCAGTGCCTGGTGGACAGAGTTAGCAGTATTAGTCAGAGTCATGGTCCATAAACAAAACAAAATTTATGATTATCCGCAAACTAAATATTGAAAATATGAGGATACAAGTAGAAGATCGAAATATAGAAAGGGTAAGAAGATTTCAGTACTTGAGGTGCTGGCTGAATGATAAATCGGATCCTGATGAAGAAATCAAACATAGAATTGAAATAGCCAGAAACACCTTTTTCAAAATTCTCTGCAACCGAGACCTGAATCTGATTACTTGATGGCGAGCTACCAAATGCTATGTACTGTCTACATTGTTATACGGTGTCGACGGATGCACGTTGAAGGCACGGACCATGTCACGCTTGGATTCATTTGAAATGTGGCTTTACTAACGAATGTTGAAAATATCCTGGATCGAACGAATAAACAATTTTGAAGTATTAGAAAGAATGAATAAGGACCAAGAACTACTGACTACAATAAAACGGTGGAAAGCATATATTTTGGTCATATTTTTAGGAACAACAAATATAGTTTCCTACAGCTGATCGTTGAGGGAAAGACTGAAGGACGACAAGGCATCGGGCGTAAACGGTTCTCTTGATTGGGGAATTTGCGCCAGTGGTTTAATATAGGAGAGGCCAGTGCAATTATCCGTTTTGCTCAAGACACGGAGGAATTCCAATTGATGGTCGCCAACCTC